GAGGGAGGGAGGGGGAGGAAAGCTGGTACCAGATCAGACTACATTCCCTGCATATTCAAATCCTGACACTGACCTTTCTGACAGATGGTTTCTTCTGAACATAACCACAGAGTTTTGAATTTTGATTCCTTTTCTTTTAGTGGCATCATCTTTGTAATATGGATGAAAGCTTTTCACAGAAGCTCAATCAATGAATGCTTCATTTAAACTAAAACAAGAATGTGCTTGTTTATACTTATGTTTAGGACGTTATCATAAACAGGTCTTTGCTAAGTCATGTCCATTTGCAAGTACTATAAGAACACACAAAAGCCATACTCACCAATGAAGTGAGTTATAGTCCATTTATTATATAAACTGACTATCATGTGGAAAATCCCTGAATTTTATGCAAAGTTATTATTTAAATATATAACCAGTCATACTGAATATTCACTAAAGTTTGAGGATTTTCATTTATAGTGTTTGCATATAGAAAATGCAGAAAGTGAGGTGGTGGCTGGAGAGATGGCTTTCAGGTTAGGACCTCTATCTGCTCTTATAGAAAACTGGAAACTCCTTCTCAGCCCCCATGTCAGACAGTTCAAAACTGCTTGTACCTCCAGTCCCAGGGGATCTGATGTCTTCTTCCAGCTTCTGTGAGCACTTGACCTTGTACACACACACACACACACACACACGCATAATTTTAAAAATAAATCCTTAAAAAAGAAAATGTAAAAATATAGGTTGACTAAATATCTACCTTATAACCAAAGTTGTTTCCTTATAACCAAACCAAACAAAACAAAACAAAATAAAAATTCCTAATTAATCCTTTGAAATATACTTTGAAATCAAAAGGACTAGATGTTGTTTGTTTGGAGTGGTGGAAACATTTTCTAAGATCAATGTGGATTAAATGTGTATATGCCTAAATATTTATCCTTCAGTGGGTAGAGTGCTTTGAAGTCCTTAATAAAGAGGAATGTGAAAGCTGCCCCAAGGATTCTCATTCTGAAGTTCAAGATTCATATTAGTGATGGGCAGCAGGTGATTGAAGATTCCTGTCTCTCTCCTTTCTGGAGGCATCTGTGGTGGGTTATAGAAGAATGGGGCTGAGGCTGAGATCAGCCAGCTGCAATCTTCTATAGCTGCAGAGTATGACAAGGATGTAGCAGCTGTTCCTGGTCCCTTCGGAGACCATCAACACACACCCCAAACTAAAAGCCCACCATGAAAGAAACAGGAATTTTAACATGGTTGCTGAGAAAGGAAACATATAAAAATCTTTTGCTGGAGCTTTGCATTTCTGATAAATCTCATGAACTTGTCTGAATTCTATATAATTTCCCCAAAATTTATATAGGAAAACACCTAGTCCTTTTGATTTCAAAGTATATCCAGAGTCTTCTTCCTCTAACTATGGAACAGGTATGAGCCAGAGGCCAGCCTGTGGTTGCTATTCAGTAGTCCATCCCCACCAAAATGACAAGTCTGAAACACACACTTGCTCCAAGCTGCAAATAAAGTCCTCACCTCAGGAGACGATGAAGAAATAGCATTTTATTTCTTACAAATTTATAGCCAAGACAATAAATCACTCCATAGAAAAATTTAAAACAAGATACATTGTTGTGACCTTCATAACAGATGGCATCGTTAGTACAACAGTGAAAACTGCCTGCTGGGATGTCAGGTTGCAGCATTTTGTCAGGCTTGATGTATGAAAAAGAAAGTCAAATGCCGGTAATGGAATGGAGCCTTGCCCTCACACTGAAATTGTTTTTGTAAATAACTAAGAGAGATGTGCTTAGTGGCCAACTCTCCCCTAAGTTTACCTACTTTTGCAAAATACGTGGCAAATTCATAGGGTTTCATATTTGTTGGCTGGTTGATTTAGAGATTTATTTGTTTGGACTCATGGTTACACAATAGTATTTTTGCCTTAATAACTTTATCTTAGAGTCAAGTAATCTGTCTAATATTCTTATAGATAACGTTATAGGACATGTCCTTAAATGTCTCTATAAACTTTCACAGATACTCCTGAGGCCACATCATCAATAAATCCACCTGCTGGCCCATCTACCTCTCAGCTACCCCCTCCCCAGAAAAGAGAATAGGTAAAGGTTATCCTTTTCCAAACCTGCCCCAGCTGAGTATTCTAGCTGTCATACCCTATGTGGCTGCCAGTCAGATCTATAGGCAAGAACAGCTCATTTCTGAGAGGATATAGATTTTCCTCCGTGGAAGTTATCACAAGTAGGCAGCTGACTACAGAACAGATTGATTCAGATTGAGATTTTATGTTGTGTTGTTTATGGCCTTTGTGGATTTAGACAAATTCTTTATCATTTCTGCCATTCCATTCTCATCTTTGAAGGCAGATGTTCATTTCTTTTTCCCATTTCAGATCCTAGGGATGCTCAGAAAGTACATAAGAAAATTTCCCAGAAATGAAAGCCAGCATACAGCACAAAGGGAACTAGGAACATTGCTAAGTGTCCTTACAGCAATAACAAAACAAACAGATTAATGACATCATGGTTGCAAACATCACCCTAAAGTTCTTCACTAGATAGACCAGCTACAGCCTTTGACAGGGCTGTCTCCAAAGGGAGTAGATTGCAGTCAGCTGTGTAGAGCAATTGCTCAATTCTGGGTGTTCAGGAAGCCTACTACTGTGACCGAATCTCCCTGCTTTTCCCCCTCTAGAGAGGGACAATCTATCCATCCCTGTTATTGGTTATTGATAAGAACAGCCAGAGCTTTCTATAATAAATGTGCTATAATAGAGCCTAATAATTATTCATACTGTGTTAGTATTACATGCTATGCTGTTCCTACCTAGAGAAGGAGAATTCCCTACCAAACATTGACAGAGACAAATAACACACCTGGGCACATGGTGACCATGAAGATTGCAACTCATCTATGGCATACACAAAAATCAACCCTTACTTTTACTCTAATATTCCAAGGCTAGTCAACTTTTGGAGCTAGAATTTACTTATGAAATGCTCAGTTCATATATCCCACATCCAGACTTTAGCTGAGCTTACTCATTTCAGGAAAATAGTTTTGTTATGGATTGAGCTGTCTAGAAATAAAAGCAATGGTGAGGCAATAGATAAAGATGAAATATGTGCCCTTTGAAAACATTGTGGTACACATGAAAAGGTATCCCTGGGCAACATATCAGTATCATGCGTGTAAAATCCTTTATTCATGTTATAGAAGTCACTTCATAATGTAAGTTACTATGTTAGAAATACAAGAAAATAGTTAATTCATCAAATAATTTATATTTCTCCTCTGATGGAATTATAATACTAAACAGTGTCCTTTTGAGGAAAAGTCTCTGATATCCAATGTAATGTCCCTGTACAAGTTCTATTAACCATTTGTTAAACAAGCAGCTGAGTGTTCAACATTTTCATGTCTAGAAATTTTAGACTTTAAAGTTTATATATATATATATGTGTGTGTGTGTGTGTGTGTGTGTGTGTGTGTGTGTGTATCTCCCCTATGTATTCTATATTCTGAAATGAGGGCCCACTGTGCCTGCCTGGATGAGGCTGCAGGGTGGCCATTATCTCTTGCACACTTGACCATGGAGGACCAGCAGGTAAGGTCTTAAGCAACCACTGGGCTGTCAGTCACTCACACAAAGTGAAAGATGTTCATATATTGCTGAAGAGCCTACAAGTCAACCCAGACTCTTAGGAAAACACATCAAGACTAAATGAAACTGCAGTGCATTAGCAAAGAAGTAAACTAAATTGAAATGCAATTCTCACCTTATGACTAATTTTGACTATAATCTTACCTTAGAGATGTGTGATGAGGAATGGTCAAAAGTAAATTTGAGTATGAGAGAGTCTTTCACCTCAAATTCCATTCCATGGCATGGACACTGTACAGCTTTTAAATCTTGGGCTACACTGATGTGAATTCTTTCATGACAATAGAAATAGTATCATAATAGTATTACTCCATTTTCCTAATGCCCAGGTTTCCTGACCTCCCTTCCCCCAGGTTGCTAATTATTTTTCAGTTACTATATATTAATAAAAGTACTCAGAATTTATTCCTGAATCCCACATACGTATTTAGAACTTACAGAATTTGGAATGTTACTAACTATATCAAATCATTTTGCTACTTCACATTCTCTCATGGTTATTTTTGACATTAATAATTTATCAGTAACTATTAGTATCTTTTAGGAAATTGTATTCAGAAAGAAAAATCACCTCAAAGAAATGGAAGAAATTCTTTTGAATTTTAAAGTTGTCTTTCACCAGTTGTAGAAGTAGTTCTTTTATGTGATTTTATTTAAGGCTGTCATAAAAGATGTTCATACCAAGAGAAGTTTCTTCTCCTTGGCATATCATATAATTCATATTTTCTTAGATTTTTAAATGTCATTAGTGATAGTCTCAGTTACCCAAAAGTATTTAATAAATTTTTAAAATTAGATTGGAGGTTAAAAATAAGAAATAATAAGAAATGAAATTGGAAATGTGGTGTGGGAAAAGCGACTGGACCCGTTTTGAGTCCATCAGGACTCTTCCTGACTGTATCTGCAAATCCTGAAGGTGAGATCTGAGAAGTCAAATACACATGAGGGATTATGTGTTCATGCTTAGCACTTCAACTTGCCACTGAATATGAACAGGTGTGCCTCTACACCAAGCAAATAATGTAATCAAAATTCTAGGATTACGAGCTCAATAATTTAGTTGTGATTTGATTACAATATACATCCTCATTTAATAGAATTTAGTATTGGATTCCTGCCAAGAGCAGGCACTTTATAAACAATTCAATTCAGAAAGACAGAAACAACAACAACAAAAAGCATCTATTTTTGAATACCTTTTGGGGAGAGCCTCTAGAAGGATCAGCCACATCCTGTTCTCATTGACATTTCAACCAGACTGGGCTGAGGAACATTTGCTCAAGGCTAATTGCTACTGTCTAGATCCATAATGAAGGCTTTCCTGGATGACCTTTATGAATTACAGTAAGTAAAGCTCCCCTCTGAGAAACCAGCTATTCAATAAACTTTTACCTTTAGAAGATAGGTTATTACAGGCCTATTGTCAGTGTGTCAACGATACTCTCTTCTGGACGGAAGCCTTTATTTCTATGGTGACAGTGAAAACGCCCTTTGTGATTTCAGGCTCTTGTCATTGTGGAAAGTGCATTTGTTCTGCAGAAGAATGGTATATTTCAGGGGAATTCTGTGACTGCGATGACAGAGACTGCGACAAACATGACGGTCTCATTTGCACAGGTGCAGTACTGAATACATTAATTGTTTTGTGTCACCAATTACAATGGAGCCAAATGGCACCCACCACACGCTGCTTTAGACAGCCAGAGAGATCAGCTTCTGTGCAATCAAGGGATCATTGCCATTGTGTAGTAACTCTAAAAGTGGTTGAACATTTGCGAATAAGCAGTAACATTTTCCCTAGAACAATACAAAAGAATGAAGCCAGATATTTGATTGCTGGGAAACTTCTACAAGGTAACCTGCCCCATGAACTCACACAAATGTAGTTGTATATTGCAAAGAGGAAAGAATTCTCCTGACAGACATTTTATTAAACATGGTGTTGAGGAGGGCTGTTATTTGAAGCAGGACTCAGGTGCCACTAGTTGGTGTATTGGTTGTTTTCAAATAACTGGGCGTATATATAAATGTGTGTGAGGAGGGAGAGGTGGAAGCATGGTGTCCAAAAGGCTTAACTGTGTAATAGTCATCACTAACCTTATTGTGTTTTATTAGTTGTTTATAAATACAATTCCTTAAACAAGTTAAAGACATGTATATTTGTTCTCCTGAAGTTATTAACTATTTTAATTATAGAATGTACCCTAATTTAATATAATTCTGATTCAATATATTGTTAACAAAAGTCTTTCTCCATAACCAAAATATTTAATAACCAAAGACTTTTTTAAAATTAGGTCAAAGATGAGTATTTCTGCATGACATTAAATTAGACAACAATTTTCTTTCTAGTCAAATACAAAAGAGTATTTTTCCAGTTCCCTGGACTGCCTTATATCAAGTCAAAGAGTTTTATGGTTTTCAGTACTTATTTGTAAGTCAGATAGAATGTATTCTCTAAAGGAAAGGAGAATCATGATATAGTAACCCAGCTGAGTAATATAGGGTGAATATTGTTTGATTCATATAAATTTTCAAAGAAAAATTTCTCTCCGATGGTTAATTGTGTAATAATACCAATCACATCGTAATACAACATAGAGAGGATGAATGAAATGGTTTTTCACATGAACAGTTATGGCTCACAGTAGCATATTCTAATAATGCATTCTGAGCATAACAGTGTTTCCAATACCTATTTTTTTGCAGGGAATGGAATCTGTAGCTGTGGAAATTGTGAGTGCTGGGATGGATGGAATGGAAATGCATGTGAAATCTGGCTTGGCACCGAATATCCTTAACAATTCCATGGGAGACAACTGGATTCTTATTTTCTAGGCAATTTGGCACTTAGAAATACAGAGGAAATCATGTATAACCACCACTAGGACAAATTTAGCAGACTATTGTATGTTTTTCTATTTCTGACTGAACGAAAGCTGGTTACCCATTAGAAATGAGTTCAGTAAACTGATGTAAAGAACACCACAAAGAATAATTTTACCATAATTAACACCAGTGTTTCTCAACTAAGGAGTGCAATTTCATCACTCACAAGACATTTAGCAATGTCTACAGAAAATTTTGACTGTCACATTGGGTGGGGTAGAAGGGTTGTACTATGGGAAACTTAGAGGTGGAGGCCACAGATGGTGGTCAACACCCTGTAGTACATAGAACGGCACAGCAAAGTATTTTCCGATTTTCATGTCTATCAACACATAGCAAAAAAATGCCAAATTGTGTGGTTTTTTAAGACTCTACATCTCCATAAGAGAAACACATTGTTATACTCTAAGGATAATGTTTATTCTCTCATGAATCCATCAATAAGATTTTTCTAGAATTCCTTCCACATGACTCTGCATTTACACATGAGAACCATGTTGAAGATGTGATGTTGGGATGGGGCCTTACCAGATCACAAGGATTCAGAAAGGAAAAGACTGACCATTTGTTGATCTCATGTTAAACTCATAAGAATCTTAAAAGAAGAAATTTTGAAAAATGTACAATTTGATATTTTAATAAATAGTGACATAAGTTGTTTAAATTCTGTGTCATTATCTATTTACCTACTGATAACTAACACAACAGAAAGAATGAATTGGAATATGCATGCTGGATTCCAAGAAGTAACCGATATTTTTAAAATTAGGCATGGGTTACATGTAGAAGAAATTCAATTTTTCAGTATTTAAATTACTCCATTCATTGTGCCCTCTTAAGAAGACAGGATCTCACTAGAAATATGAGGACTGAGGAGCCTCAAATATATAATCAGAGTCCTTGCAAAACTCTTTTATCTAAGGAACTATAGGCTAAGCAAAGGAATCAGGATGAACTATTATAATAATATGACACATATCTCAGAAGCTCAGAAGAGGACCCAAAAATCTAGAAATGACTTAAATCAAAATTACAAATATTCACTCAGTGATAGGAACAAATGTTTATTTTCTTGGTGAAATTTTGCTCTGTATGAAATTCACATTGAATTATGAAAATGTACAATATTTGTGGTTCCCTTACATATATACAGTTAAATCTACTTATACACATTAGTTGAAGTAACCATTATTTAGGGCTAAAAAAATACTTTTTTCCTAAATGTGAATCACTTGTAAAATCCTAAAATAATGTAGCAAAATCATTTCTGTATGGTTTGAAGATGAAATTTTTACTTGCAAATTTTATATTAATAATGTAAATAGTCTAGAGTCATGGTTTGGATTTTGTAAGTCAGGTCACCAAATGTAAGGCAAGCATGCCTCCATTGTGTTACTTAAAAAATTAATACTGAAAAGTGTTTTAAGAGATGTCACTGATGCTGGTTTTGTAGTATTAATAAGCTTCTCATAATTCAACAGATTTATAAAACTGTTATCTCTATCCTGAGATTAGGGAATGCAACCATACTGGTTGTATTTATATTACTGAGTGTGGCAATTGATGCAGCAGTTTTGTAAGATGAAGGAAATATAAGTGGTTAAGAAACAGTCTAGGTAATTATATTCTTTCCTCTTCTCTATACAACATTTTAAGTCAGGAAATAAGCCAAATAGAATTATTCAGTAGCAATTCCAATGATGTATTTGATGATGCCCAAACAATGGAATTCATTGCCTCACCTTCCGATCGTGGTGCAAGTGACCTTTGGATTCGCCTGTTGCAGGAATCAGCATTCTATAAAGGTATGGGCACCATATATTACAAACTTTGTGGGCTACATACACCACTACAACATGTTCTTCTTTGATTATGTTTTAATACTTTAAAACTACGATAAATAAATAAAAATTCATTCTGAGCTCTCAGGTCATACATAAACAGTTTAGGCTGGCTTAAACCACAGCTGGGGAGTAGTTTGCCAGAATCCACTAAACTGGAATTGCCTTCAATTCCTTATGGCCCCTTCCATAACCTCAGGTGTGTCTTACATTTGTTATGATTCTATATATATTTTCATTCCTTTCTATCAACAGAAACTACCCCAAAATGTGTGTTGCCCTTATATTTTCACAAGGAAGAATGTGAAAATATCCTTAGAATTTAAGTGTTCTAGGAATAAAGAGTTTAACAATGGAGAAATGATTACACTGTGGAAGTTGAAGTGTGATCTATCCTGGCCTAATTTTGTACAATCGTGAAATGTATGTTGTTTGTATGTTATAGTTAACCATGTTCTAGAGTTCATTAAGTTGCAAACTATGAAAGCAAACAGAATTATAGTATATAAGTCTCAGAGTCAACTAAACTCTAACCAATGTTTTTTTGGAAAACAGATTTTTTTATTGCCTTATTTTGTCTGCTATGTGTGTGTGCAGCAGGGGCGGGATTAGCCATGCTAATATCAGTACATCATCACATCTCTAGAGAAGTGATTGAATTCACACAATTTAGCTTAGTAAAAGTCATGGTAGCATACAAATACTTATATCCTTTTTAAATGTGGTTTTGTACTTTGACTTTGATTCCATTACCAAGATAGGAACTCCCCTTTCAAAAACGCAAACCAAAACCCATCTGTATCAAGTAGAAGAAAATAAGCAATTCTCTTCAGCTTGCTCATGAGTTTCAAAAGTTACATTGGCATCCTTGATAGTTGGAAAGGATGCATCAAGTTAACCAATGGTGATGACACTGAATCTGCTTGTTTAACAAACCACCATTGAAAAATACCTCATAAAAGTCTACCAAAGTCTCAAACATACGGACAGAACCGTTGTTCCTACTGCCTTTTCTGTAATCCTGAGTTCATCTAGATATCAGCAGCACCGGGGAATAAATAATGACTTACCTCTGTCAGCTCAAATACAAATACAACCTGAGAAGTAAACATCAGAAACAGACTGAAGGGAAACCAGGAGCAAAAACAAACAGAAATACAACTCAGTCTTACCTTACAAACTCAACTGATACAAATTTAAAATGTACTCTGTATTCCAGACAGTCACCTCGCCCTGCATGCCATCCTCTAAGCCAAGAATACTTAGATACATATATATTATAATAATTACTAAAAAATATATATGTATAAATTACTCAACAGTACCAGAATTTACATTCTGGATTTGGCTATGCCTACACTTCAGAAAATGTTTGGGCATTTATTCCAATTGTTTCTCCTGGATATAGCATTTTTACACCTCCTTATAAATTGGCCAGTTAGTCAGTTTTGTCTCATTCTTTTTTGTGTGTGATGTCTAACATCCATTATCCATGAAATATTTGGGAAAAATTTCTAATGAACACGTATCTAGCTTAAGGAACAAGAAAGTTTTTTAAGATAACTAAATCTGATGTTGGCCACTCTATTTTCTGAAAAATGGTGTCTTAGTACTTGAAATATTAATTAAGTGGTTAGATGTGATAAACTCTGCTTGCTTGCTGAAAGGCCAGAATTTAGAAGGGCTAAAGCAAAAGTCCTAAGGACAATTGTGGACCTCCTCCTTACCCCAAGATACTCAGAACAGCAAACTTTTATACAGGAAGAATCTCACGGTTCTCCAGAATTCATAAGGAAATGATGTTCAGTCCCCTTTGACTTTTCACAGAGGGTCGATGGTTTTCGTGTCTTCTATAATTGTTCCAAATAAAGTGGTAGCAAAGTTCAGAAAGTAAACTTACCAGAAAAAAAAAAAAAAAATGGTGTCACTTGAAATATGCAAAAGATTAGCATTTCTGAGCATTTGGATGGATAGGGAAAGCAATCAATTACCATAACAAATTAGCAGAACTAACCCTCCCAAACCAAATTTGCATGCAGAAGGAATGGGATCTTCTAGAGACTTAGTACAATGGACATACGGTACAGGGAGGTACAAAACACACAGTCTATAAATACAAATGAGTTCCATCAGATTTACTATACAGAACATCAATAATGACAGATTGCACTTAATAATAGCAAACTTAATTTCTGAGGGAAGAAATGGTGGTCTTATCCCAGAAATAGCAAGAGAGGTATCATCAAAGAGCTAAAATTTTCTTTGGCATGGTAAAGGGGAAAACTGAGTTTATCAACCTATATACATGGTATTTCTCTATAGTTGGGGGTGATACAATGCCATTTTTTACATAAAGTTATTTAATTTTTTCATATGCCTTCATGTATTTTATTCAACATGTTGTATTTGTGGAAACAACAAATGATAATAAACACGAACTGTACAATACAGACAAACTCTCTGTATGTAAATTGGATAACACATACCAACAGTTCTAGATACATGGGTCCTACTACATGCAGTTCATTGGTGCTTTCCTCTTCCCATGCAACAGGTGAGACCAGACATGAAGGAGACAGTCAAATTACAAATAACAAGGACCCCTCTGCAACATATCTAAACATATATTAGAAGAAAGTACTTTGACATCCACTCAACAGTAAATGCCCTATTAGACAGCTCTTAGGAACAAAACAGAAGTAAACATTTACATAACATTTCAGCCACTTACAAAAATAAATCTTGCCTTAATTTAACCGTAAACAGGCCTTCAAAAGAAAAAGAACTGCAAGTAGGAATGATTATCTAAAACAGAGAGGTGGGATGGTTTGGGGTTTAATGTATTTGGAGGGGTGTTAGCAGTATCTATAAGCCCAACTAACAAGAATTACAAGTTATTCATAGTTTACCACACATTATGGGATATATGTCTTTTCTAAATAATGAATTAATGGATTTCATCTAATATGCATAACTCCAAATCAAGAATGGTCAAAGGAATCACCTCGTTGTATTTGAGTTTAACATTACTGACAATAAATCTACTCAAACTTTATGCTAATTTTTATTTATTAAAGTGGAATTCAATATGAAAATGAAATAAGCATAAACAATTAAATTTATACTGAATCTTTAATCAGCTAAGCAGGCCAAAAATTTTAGATGCTGGGCAAGGGCTGTCATAGAGATTTATGAAAACAGTGACAAAATAATTTCCCAATAAGTTCAGTGCAGGTGGGGGCAAATGGCAACTTGTCATCCTGCCACATAGAAATAATAACAAGAGGCCAGTACATTGATCCCACATTGACTGTTTTCTATAAAAGAGGTTCAGTTTGGTCTCAATGAACTCTTCTTAGAAGAACACATGGAATTTTATTAAGTGTACACAGAGTTAACAAATATATTTCCAAACATGTTAGTTTTAAACATTTTGAAACTCTTTAGATCCAATATTGAACACTTTGCATGGAATCTTCAAATGTCTCATCAGCTATTCACTGTCTTTCTTTTTACTGTCTTCCCTAAACTCAGAGTCCAACAATATTCAATCCAAAAGGAAGTTAAGAAAGCAAGAGAAAATGAAAACAAATAAATCAAATGACCCAAAACTCTGATGTTGGAGTGTATGGTTTGCCTTTATTTTTATCTAGGATATTCAGACAGAATTCTTCTGACATCTTGGCATGGCACCTCTACCCCAGCCACTGGGCACTGTGGGCCCCACTGAGTTGAGTTAGAGGTGTGTACTGCTGACATCCATAGTACCAGACTCAGCATGCTGAGCTAAAAAAAATATTTTTTTCTAATATTTCCAGTTTAAAAACTTGTCATTAAACACCAAAAATATTAAAGTCTAATTTATAACTAACGTTTGCTTTGCTGCTGCAAAAAAGAATACAACAGCCACCTTGCCCATGCTTGGCTGAGTATGAGTAGAACGCAGCCCAAATTGGGGATGGCATTTAGTTGTTTCATTAAAAACAGGAAGGAATGGATGGGAAATGGATTTAGGTAGTGCATTTCTTATACGTTGTAATGTTTAACTCTTTTTTCCTTTTTTCCCAATAATGAAGATTAATAGATGAAAAATGAACCTTAATCAGGCCTACAAGGCCTACAGAATTCTTTGGACCCACTTTCTTAAAAACCAAGTGGGTCTTGCTCGCTGGGCAAGGCAAATGTTACCATTACCAGTAAGCTTGTGATATGTATAAAACACACACACACACACACACACACACACACACACACACACACACACAAACTTAGAGGAGATGTCAAACACATATCATAGAGAGCTTCCTGTGGATTGTGTTTGACTCTTGTCCCACCCAGGCAACCCCCACTTCAGGAGCTCAGCATTTTCTACTGGGCAAAGCATGTATGTGTGTGTAATCGATAATGTGAGCCAAAGACAACAATCTTAATCTTTATAGATGTGGTTTGTAGTAATAGGTTTAGAAGGCTTCCTGATTCCCTGATTGCTCTCCGAACTAATCCAACTGCAACATTTAAGATTTAGAGGAACACAATCCCTGCTAAAGGTCAGACAGTGGAGCGAGCAGCCCTGTAAAAACGGGAGGAAGAGAAATCCATAATAGCACAGGTTTACAGCGTCTAACTAGAAATTACTCAATATTATTTGTGTGCTACAAAATTGAACTGAAACACATGAATTTCGCTGAAACGGGACTCAAAAAGGATTATGGGTAGCTGTCAGCAGGCAAGGTATCGAGTGTACTTGTGAAGTATGTCATTCACATAAAGTGTCACAGTCACAGAAAAGATATTAAAAAGGCATTCCATATCTGGTAGGGCATTCCATGGTCTGAGTTTGGCTGGTTTGTCCAGGTGTCTTCTTGGTGTGTGGGGGCCACAGGTTGAGATTTATCCACTTGCAACAGAGAAGTTCAGAGACAGCAAAGAGCAAGCGTGAGCTTGCTTGCTGGGGCTCTTCAGCCACGGGAGCATGAATGTCTGGTAAGGATAAATCGCTCCACTGTGCTCAGGACAAGTAAGTCAGGACACCTGAGGATCTGGCTATGTGGTCTTGCTCTTGTTGACTGGTTTGCCTCCATTCATTATTGCAGATGCACTGGTACTTTTGCTTGGCGTCACTCCAGCCTTTGGGACCGTCTCGCCAACATCATGCAAAGATGGTTCTCGGTACATGGCAACTAGGTATGGGAAGAAAGGTGGAGGAAAAGGAAAAGTCTGGTTACCATGCAAGAATGTCCCACCTTTTGTGAACAGACCTCAGGCACTGGCCTGTGCCTGGTTTCCCTGAGTGAATACAATCCTATTGATGAGAGGACACCAGTTTTAAGACAGTCATTTCTAATTCAAATCTAAACTAAAGATACCATCTTCAATGTATTCTCGGACTTAAATACCTAAAATATGTGCATGAATGCATATAAATTTTTAACTAGGATAAAATTTTAGTGAAAGCTGTGGCCAATTTGTGAACCTATAATGCAAAATACACCACAAACACACACACATGCACACACACACGCGCGCACACACACACTATAGGAGGATAAGCATTTGACCTAGTTCTGTTTGCTCAATTAACTTTTCTGAGGTAAGGTATTTATACCTGAAACCATTAAGCTATTTTTCTTTCAAGTTGTTTAAAAGCAACATGGTCACACTAATGTCGACTTAAAAGCTACACACAGCAGCAATAATAATGGATCCCTTTGCTTAAGCTAACATCTTCTGGGAATCATTATTTCAATTTTCTTGCCCATAACCATGAATAGAAAGCCTTAAATAACTGAAGCAAACTGTGTGGCATTTATAGTCTTTATATCTCATTATGATATATTATTTACAAATCAAAATAATTGGTGTCATGTAGGGAGGAGGCACAGAAGGCAACATAGAAAGGAAGATTGATGCCTAAGAAAATCTGGGGACTGATCTGAATAGAGCCTAGTGACATGATCACCATAGCTCATGTGACATTTTAGAAAATGATTTTAGAGAGTCCTATGAAAGGGTATTTAAGAATATCCAATATGGGGGAAAATAAGTTGAGTTAAAGTCACCTGCCACCTGAAATATAATTACAGTAGAGTTGTCCAGTATGCTTAGGTTTTGAATGTTTAATTATTTTAACAGAGCCTGAGTGGAGCCAGCATGCTTGCTCAGTGTGCACACTGGAGGAATTTTACATCAGTGTGAATTCAGTATGTGATTTTGTTTCTCTTTGCCAGCACACCTATGAAGGTAAATGTGCACTGGGTTGGGTTCCATGACTTGGAAAGTTAGTGATAGGAACCGACCATTGTAGCACCCTCCAGTCTCTCACTCCTATTATAGTTAAGTTAGGAAGCAGTAGCATCACATTGACTTACACTATCTATGAAATGAAGATGGGAGATCTGAATGCCTTGGAGCATCTGTCAATCCATACCTGTGGAAATGTTTATCCTTATCCTAACATGTTCAGTTATACAATTTGTACTCTACATGGACTTTAAAGCTTGAAACTAATTACCCTCTGGTAATTTCTATCATTGAGTGTGTATATTCAGGTTTTTTTTTTTTTTTTTTTAAGAACAGTGCATAGCCCTTGTTTATTTTTTTGAGTACTTTTATCCATCAAATACTTGGAAGTATAATAGCATACTATTTTCTTCTTCCTCATGTAGATACACCACACTCACACAACAGTTTGACATAAGGTTGGAATACCAAGTAATAGGATTATTTACAATTATAGTGGTTATGCCACAGCTGTAGAATCTTACATATTTTCTGTAGCTTATACAGTCACTGCTTTTCAAATTTCATCTGTTAATAAAGGTTCTTGTGATTTCATTATACTTCCCCAAACTGACCTGCCCATTGGAGCAGGGCTGGAGTTTGCTCAATAATTGAAGTAGTGCCAAGGATCATCAAGAGCACCAAACCTAAAGAGTCGTTGGGCGCATGAGGGAAATTCACCATGGATCATCCCACCTGTAGCCTTTGGAAAATCATTAACAGCACCTACATCAGTCCAAGGTGGGGCTGGGGGTCCTGTTGTTTTAGTTCAGGATGACAGTAAGCTTTCTCGCTATTTACACTTTGAATAGCCTCAAAATCTTTTTTGTTTTTTCAGTTCTCAAATCTAACATAGATATCAGTAAGTGACCCACCCAGAAAAATCAATAATGGGCAACGCACATAAGTGTCTAAGAAATTAGCAAAACATTGTATCTTGTGCCTTAGGATCTGATCAAAATAAACGTGAGGAATTCATTATTTGGAGTTGAAGATAGGGAAGTTCATTTAATAAAAGTAATAATTTAGCAAAAGGATAATAATTTATGTAGCATGGAAGGAGATATGAAACTTTAACAAGTTCTTGGAGGGTCATTTTCACTTTATTTTATATAATTATATTAAACCAGCAGTAATTTTACCCAAATAATATAAAAATAGACAAATACCATGAATTCCATGTGAAAATTCTTTTCTTATACACTTATCATATGTTTGTAAAAACATAATAGATTTTCTTTTCAATTAATTGTTTAGATACACAAATACACACACAGACATCCACACACCACACACACACACAAACCATATGTACACACACATATACGCACCGCATACACACACACAAACACATACACACACAAACACATACACACACACGTACTCAGTGTATATATAAGAGAAAAATGCATTTTTGCATTTGTCTTTTTGGTATTGGGAAGTGAAAATTCTATTTCTTACACGTTACGTGTATGTTCTACCAAAGACCTATACTTGGCAGCCCAAAGATGTACAACTAATCAACTTAAGGAGAAATCTGTGAAATTATCATTCTAATCAAGAAAAAAAAGACATTTGTAGCACCACAATAAAGGTTCCTGTGGTTATGTCAGAACACATGTGAAAAATAAAATATGTAACAATTCAGAAAAGGAAAGGGCACAGGAAACACTCACCTTCCAATGGCTTGGGTAGAAAATGAGCTGCTGGTTTGGTTTTCTTTACTCTGTTCCCTTTCATAACTTGCCCTTCCTTATTTAATCCCAAAAACCAGGCTCTACCAGATTCCTGTTGCCTGTACAGCATGGATGAGTAGATTACATAATAGTTTTCAAAAACAGATTCTTTAAACTTGCATTCAGGCGTAAAAAGTTCCTATTGAAAGAAAAGAGGAGAAGAAAGTTAAAAAAAAAAAAGGAACCGAATCTTCAGTGTTTACTTTGTTCTCCAGGAATTCTTCTGACATGGTGACTGCACCAGAGATGACTGGATCTATATCCTCCTGTACAAGGGAAATGTCTATAGATTCTTTTCAATACCAAAGAAACTGAGAAGGGTCTGCAATTGTACGTTAATAAGGAAATAAAACATGTAAGACAGGCATGGGGTTCAATGCCTGTAATCCCAACACTCAGAAGGATGAGGTGAAAGGATTGCCATGAGTTTCAGGTCAGACTGGGCTGCATAGTGAGTTCCAGGACAACCCCAACTGCATCACAAGACCCTGTCTCAATAACATAAAAACAAAAGAGAAAACGTGATCCAAATCAGTACTTTCACCTAAACAGAGTCCAGTTGAACAGAGCCTAGTCACCTAGAACATCAGTACGGCATCATATATTCACAATAAAGTCAGCAAAAATGTTTAAGATATATAATATTATAACTGTAGGTAGCTGTTACTTAGATTACTGGTATAATGGGGTAACACATTTATCCTGCAAAGAACAGACTAAAACATCAAAACTGTGACAATCAGATGGTACACAAGTTAGCCACCAGAGCTATTACTGTGTGACCAGCCGAAGCCAGATGTCATGCTAGCTCACAGAAGCTGGAAATAATTATCCAACTCCATGGCTTTGAGCCCTGTCAGGATTCTTGAAAATGAACATCAAAACCTGGCCTTGATTGAAAAATACCCCAACACTTTCTGAAAGAGTATAGTGTGTTAAATGTAATTCGGTTCAGTGCCATCATCCTCATTAATTAGCAAGTAGCACAAAGCTTACTACGTCAGTATTAACTCATTAATATCACAAATATTCACAGGTGATTTTTAAATACTTAATGAAACTCTTAGTTTGAAACAAATGATAATATGATAGCATGCATATTTATAAAAATGCATGCTGATGCAGCCTACAAGCATTTCTGACAGCCCCAATTGACAACAACTTTAAAATTCAAACCTCTTAGTTGTATGCCGTGTAATACATTTTACTAGTTTTTGTAGCTATTATAAAAAGGCTCTACATTGTGCAACTCTGTACATATGGGAAACACAGATGTAAAACAGACTTATCACTTACATTTTAACAACATCACTTGCCGGGCATGATGGCACACACCTTTAATCCCAGCACCTGGGAGGCAGGAGCAAGTGGATCTCTGTGAGTTCAAGGCCAGCCTAGTCTACATAGTGAGTTCCAGGCCAGCTAGGGGATACAGGGAGACCTGTCCCAGAAAGCCAAAACAAAAACAAAAACAAAAACAAACAAACAAACAAAAAAAACCACTCAATTTTCATTCACCTTAATAGGTTTTAACTATTGCAGAAAATAATTTTTATTTTCTTTTAGAAATATATGTTGCCTATATATCTTTAAAAAACACATTCTTTAGAAAATGAAAACTAAAATCTCAAAAAGTTGAGTTTGTGACAGTTATCATAAGGAATGTATCAAAAATGCATGTGGAAAATGTTTTTCTGTGTTTCCCATAAGAGTATAAGTTTTCATATGGTATCTTTTAGGAAGAAATTTTTTTCAGCATGCTCCATAATTTTGATTCACCAGGAGTTAATTTTCCAGGAGAAAAGGATTTTATTAATGGCAGATGCTTTCTTGACAAAGATGGCAGAAACAGTGATCAACAGGATGAGACTTTAAAAAGACAAGAGATAGGGTGAGCCCCTCCCTCAGGGATGTGTTCGGATCTTCAATGTGATGCTGCCACAGATTTTAATATGATCACAACCACATAAATGTCCTGGCTTTCCACTAAATTACACTTCTCCCAATAACCTCTTCTTAGTTCTCTACCTAGTAAACAATAACCTCCTGGTGTCAGTGACCAGGATAAGGAAAGTGGATAAAGTACTGAGGAAAGTAAATGGAACACAAGCATATATGCATATAACACATACATACACACACCTAAAAGATGCTAACACATTTGAAAAGTAGTGTACAGAGTCCTTAAGGTATCCATTGAGAATAAATTACTTCATCCATATTGAGTTCCCTTTTCTTCGATGTTTAACTCAATCAATTCAGAGTGGTGACAGTAGAGACCGACCTTGCTGAAGGTGATACAATCAGCCTATGCTGTATTTGCACATTTTGGCAAAGGTGATCATATGGGAATGAGGAATGATCCACATTTCCAATGTCTAAAGCACTGTGCATAGATGCAGTACAGGCATTAGTGAACCATGCTCCTGCCCAAGAACCAAAGTCCCTGAAGGGAAGTGCCAGCTCCCTTAACCCCAATGGAGTGGCCAGTGATTAGCATCTCACTCCTAGCTACTTTGAGGCAGGTTTTTACTAGTGTATAATATGCTTGTTGGCCTTGGCCTGCTTCAGTAATATAAGTGACATGCCAATGTCTAATCTGTTTGTCCTAGTAGGTTTAGTTTTGACCAATATGGCAAAGCTATTAGTCTTTGGATTAAGTTAGTTTATGTGGGATGGGAAGATCCAGCCTAATATACATCGCTATTCCCTAAGGAGGGGGTCCTGAACAGTTAAGAGTGGAGAAAGTTAAGAGCAGGCATGCAGGTGTGAACATGCATGCATTCATTTTTCTCTGCTCATGACTATGAAGATGAAGTAACTGCTTCAAACTCCTACCTTGACCTCCTCACAGATATCTGTAATTGTAAGATAAAAAAATCCATTTCTCCTAAGTTGCTTTTAATCAGGGTATTTTATTACAGCAACAGAAATGAAATTAGAACACCATTCCCCTCCCCAAATAGACTAATAAACACAAACACAGCATTCAGAGATGCTCTTATCTAATTCATTTTCTTAAGACAGAAAGAACTTAATTGAACCAAGTGTGATGGTACATGTCTTTAATCTCAGCCTTCAGGAAGCAGAGGCAGTCAGATGTCTTTGAGCTGAAGGCCATTTGATCTACATAGTGAGTTCCAGGCTAGCTGGGGCTATGGGGAAACCTGTCTCAAAACAAAGAAAAAAGTTAGAAAGACAGGCTGGAGAGATGGTTCAGTCGTTAATTAATAATCATTCAAAACTCCAGTTCCAGGGAATTCATCACCCTCTTTTGGTCTCCACTGGCATTACATATACATGGTACTCTTAAATTCAAGTAAGCAAAGTGCTCATAAACATAAAAAATAATAGTAAGTTTAAAATTTTTTTAAAAAAGAAGTTAGGGGGCTAAAGAGATGTTAATGGTTAAGAGTGCTGGCTGCTCTTACAGAGGACCTGGGCTGGATTCCCTACACTCACATGGCAGCTAACAACCATTCCTAACTCCAGTTCCATGGGATATGACATCCTCTTCTGACCTCTGTGGGTACTGCACAACATGGGTGCACCTACCTACATGCAAACAATACACTCACACATATGAAACAATAAATAATTTTTTTAAGTTAGGACTGTTCCAATACTGATATGTTGATTTGCAATCTCTGACAAAATGAAAACTAGGAAGTATTAGCATTTTCTGAAGTTCCTCCATTTTGATTAAAATGTGAAAGTAACTTGTTTCTCTAAAGTTCTGTTTTCCTTGCACCACTATCAACACCAAGTAACAGCCAGCCAGAAAAGATGTTCATCAGTCACCTAATATTCTTTAACTGTCTACTAACTGATTACCCTTATCAATGGTCAACTGAAAGCCAAAAACGGAATCATTTTGATCTACTTTCCCCTAAAATGAATGAAATGGAACCTTCAGTCTGCCACACAGGCCTGACTTGTAGTCAGTGCCCGCACCATATGGTTTGTCTATCTATGGTATTAATAACTCTTCTAATAAGTTTCCTACCTAAAAGACTATCCATTCCAGTATCCCCACCCCCCCGCCCGAGCTCCAGATCTGTAACCTTTCAGGAAA